TATTTATATTTATTTATTGTTAAAGATTTATTCATTTTTATTACAAAGTCAGATATACAGAGATGAGGAGAGACAGAGAGAAGATCTTCCATCCAGTGATTCACTCCCCAAGTGAGCGCAACAGTTGGTGCTGTGCTGATCCGGAGCCAGGAACCAGGAACTTCTTCCAAGTCTCTCACACGGGACAGGCTTTGGGCCATCCTCCACTGCTTTCCCAGGCCACAAGTAGGGAGCTGGATGGAAAGTGGAACAGCTGGGACACGAACCAGCGGCCATATGGATCCCGGCATATGCAAGATGAGGACTTAAGTAGCTAGGCTACCATGCTGGGAACAGGAAAATTTGAATCAGTTGCCTTAGCATAATCTTCTCACTTCCAGAACAAAATTGAATAGCATTTCCATATTCGCTACTTCAATAATTATTTAATTACCAGGGTTGTGTTAGTTTCTCCTTATGCTTTCTTCTTCATCCTCTTCCAAGCCATTATTGCATATTGGCAGTTTCCTCAAAAAGTCCAGTTGGATTACATTATTTCTTTGGTTTAAACTCTTGATTCTGGTTTCCTTGGATCTGTCAAATTACCTCATCTTGTATATTAGGTTGTAGTGTGATTCTTATTATTCTAGCCTTTATAAAAATCTGAATTTCAGCCAGCACTTGAGTAGAAACAAGAGTTAACTATTTTCAACTAAAGTTTCTAAACCATATTGAAGCTTTTGTAATTCTCTTCTTTCAAACCTTTTCCCTTGCTTTCAATTTGCTTTGAGCTTAACATTCTTTTTTTAAAAAAAGATTTGTTTGTTGGAATGGCAGATTTACACATAGAAGGAGAGACAGAGAGTAAGATCTTCCATGTGCTAGTTCACTCCCCAAGTGGCCACATTGGCCAGAGCTGAGCTGTTCTGAAACCAGGAGCTTCTTCTGGGTCTCCCCTGTAGGTGCAGGGTCCCAAGGCTTGGGCTGTCCTTGACTACCTTCCCGGGCCACAAACCGGGCACTGGAAGAAAAGTGGAGCAGCCATGTCAGGAACTGGCACATATATGGCATCCCAGGGTTGTAAGGTAAAAATTTAGCCATTAGACTATCATGCTGGGCCCTTAAATTCTTTCTGTGGCACTTTATTTTATTTAGGTCTCTGTGTGCCGCTATTTTGTTTAGTTTTGTTTTCCCTTTGTTTATATGGTAAGCCACTTCAGATAGACCTTAGCAAAGACTGTTTGGCTCATTCCACTTTGTTAACTATATATCCAGATTTTAGTACTTACTGCAAATAAATGATCTTACCAACATAGGGGTATTGTGCATCAATTCAAGCTTTGAAAGTGCAAAAGATCTTTATCTGCACCTTGGGAATTGCAATTTGGGGGACACAGATTTAGATAGCCCTGTATTGAGTGGTCTGAAGGAGGTACAAGAAGTTACAGCTTATATACGCAAGTGATGCTTTATTGCAAGGCAGTAACAATTTCTTTGTGGAAAATTTATTAAGAGTTCAAAAAGGAGATGGGCTGCATGGTAGGGACTGTGAGATAAAAAAAGAAAATATAAATGATACGGAAATGTCTATACAATAAGAATTCACTTAGTATTTATTTTGAGTCTGGGCACAGTGTAGTAACTTGGTCAATCCAGATACTTGAATGAAGGTGAAGGTGACCAGAAGTTCACATTCCAGATAACAGCCTTAGTCACGTGTAAGTCGCATTTTTAATGACCTCCCAACTCTGTCTTGAAAAGCTCTCTAAATGCTCCCTTCATGATTTTATTTTTATTTTTGCATTGGAAAGGGGAGGTGATTTCTTACCTGTGCATTGTAAAGGGTTATGGCTGATGTCCTGTAATAATCTTTAAATCATGATGGGAATGTGTGATGGGAAGAGAAGCCCATTACAGCCCTGGGGTTGTATCTGAATCTTATAATGAGGCAGTACCTTTGGTCTGCGAACCTCACTAATGCTTCTCAGTGTTTACATGCTGAGATGGAACAGGATGGCTAGAGTATGCCAGAGCTGCATATTTCTGTCTTGTTAGGTAGAAAGCTAAAGGAGACTGAAGCTCCCCCTTGCCTTTGATAACCAGATTTAGTTAGGCCTTGTTAAGAACATAGTGCTCTCATGTATTTCAATATCTTTTCTTTCTTCCTGCCCCTAACCAGCAACAGGAGGGACTTTTCTCATATGTTCATTGTGAGTACTTGAAAGAACTTGGCAACAAAACTGAAACGAATGGGGTTCCCCTGCGGGTTGGTCCTTCTGGAGTTTTTAACTCATGCACTTGTCCTTTAATTGAGCCTCCATTAATTTGTCAAAGTTTAGGTTTCCAATGGCTTGGTTCTTGTGGTACCTTCTGCTTGTGGCAAATTGTGATTCTGTTTCTGACTCTGATTTTGGGATCAGTGGTTTGCTCTGAACTCTTGGATTTCAGAAGAGTCAGTAACTTTTCAGTGTGTTTGGTCTTTTATTTGTTGGGATGGAGTGCTGAATTACAGACTCTACATGCTGGGTTCAAACTAAAAGCACTTCCTTTATTTGTTTTTTCTTTTTTTCCTCTTATCCTTTTCTTTTTCTTTTATATATATTTTTATTTTGAATTTTTGAATTATGTGTTACAATTTAATATAGACTGGGATTTCTCCCCAAACTCCCACCCCTAACAGATTTTCCCCATTTTAATACAGTGGTATAATCCTTCATAAAGAATTACAATTCCATCAGTCTCTTATTTAAGTGCACCCCAACATTGCTGGTACAGACAGTGTCAAGACAGCCCAGCATCCCATTGTCTACACTTGTCCAACAGTTTCTTTGGGAATCAGTTTTTTGTCTGGAAGCAGGGATGCCTGTTGCATTATTTTTTGTGTACATTCTGTTGATGTTGGCAGTTCTAGAAAACCTTTGCTTAACTTTCATAATCCTTTGCTCTTCTGCTGCAATGGGGGAGAAATAGTTGTTAGTACCTTTTATTTATTTGCTTATTTATTTGTATTATATTTTTGACACTCTTTACATAGTTAATTAGGGTGAAAAGGTACAAGGGCTATAGGAAAGTGGGTAAGACTATTATTTCCATATTGCTTCCTTCATGTTTAAAGCGGGGTATTAAGAGAGAAGGCCCACCCAATTTCCCACCCTCCCCAGGTCTCTGATGTAGGACATGCTCCTAAATTCTTGCTCAAGTGGTTCTGATAGTTCACCAATTATGAATCGCTGCCAGTCTTGCCACTCCAAGCGTGATAAGGTCTTTGAAGAATCCACTGGTTGACATGGTCCATCATAGAGTCTCTGTTTGCCCCGTATTTCGCTGCCAACATATAGCTGAGATGGTTGATTGACTTGTCTGTCTTCTGTCTTTTCTTGGTTAGGGTTCTGAGTCCAGCATTTTGATTGGGGAGGTCTCCAAAGAAACTTTGTCTGAGGTGTTCTCTGACCAGAATCTTGTATGTACTAGCAAGTACAGGGCCCTGCGCAGTCCATCGCCCGGATCAGCTGGTGATTGCAATTGCTGGGTCAGTTCTGTTTTCAGCCCCGATTTCCACTGGAACCAATGGGTGTTGTGACCAGCACACACTCTGCCCTCACATAAACCAGTGGGAGCTGCAGCCTAGTTGGAACGATCCACAATAACCTTCACCAGGCTCTCCCCCTACCCTGGTTCCCGTGCTTATCAGTATGTGCAGCAGACTGGTCCAGTCTGCCCCACATTCCATTTGGCTCTCATACATGTCAGTGTGTATTAAAGCTTTGTTCCCTCTAACCAGCTCCACTATGCAGCCCACACAGATGCTGTTGGGTGTCTGTTTAGCCACCCCAACCCCTGTCCTTGTTTTCATGCCCTCCCGTGGAAGTGGTAACCAAAGAGGGAGGAGCCCACTATTTCCTTCCCAGGCCTCTCCCACTCCTGGATTGTGCACTTTCCAGGTAGTTCTGTGGTTTGACTTGACAGAATTAGCCCCGTGTCAACTTCTGCCAGCTGATGCTAGGAGTGGGTAGGAAGGCAGAGTAGAGATCTATTCATGGTTTCTATTCATTCCTCCTAGCTTTTGGTTCTTTGTCAGGCCTTGTGCTACCATCTCTTACAATTTCTGACAGTTCAATTTTGTCAAACACGCTGGCCCTTCAGCAAGTTTTCTTAACATCAGTATATGATATTCCTTTCTTGCTTTCCTCATATATAAATTGTTTTTTGAGTATTGCCTTATTTTTTTTTACTTTAAAGACTTGTTTGTTTTTATTGGAAAGTCAGATATACAGAGAGGAGAAGAGACAGAGACAGATCTTCTGTCAGCTGATTCACTTCCCAAGTGGTCGCAGCGGCTGTAGCTGAGTTGATCCAAAGCAAGGAGCCCAGAGCCGCCTCCAGGTCTCCCACAGGGGCGCAGAGTCCCAAGGCCTTGGGCTTTCTTGGACTGCTTTTGCAGGCTGCAAGTAGAGAGCTGAATGGGAAGCAGGGCTGCTGGGATTAGAGCAAATGGGTCCCAGGTGTGCAAGGTGAGGACTCTTAACTGCTAGGACCTGAGAAAGGCGCATTAACAAGAAGAGTGATTAAAATTGGATTAGTCTGGACTCCAACTGGCGCCTGTATATGGTGCAAGCACCACAGGCAGTAGCTTTATTCTCTGTGCCACAGTGCTGGCCTCTGTGTGTTTTTAAAGAACTCTTAAGCAGTTCATGGGGAGAGCATTATAGCCCATATTCTTTCACTGGCAAGTAAAACAAATACTTCCTACTTTAATCTCTATTAACAAATGGAATATTCCTGTATATAGCATTTTTTATAATAAAGATCACAATATTTATGGCAAGTGAAAAAAGGTGCTAATGAAGAAATTAATTGTGATGGAAAAATCCTCCTCCCTTTTAAGATGGAACCTGAAAATCTTATTTATCTGATTTGTCATTATGGCTTGGTTATGATACAATTTGGTGCATTTTGAATGTAATTATATATCTTTTAAAGAGTTAAGGATAATGTTCCTGCAATTCTTTCTTAATTTGCAGAAAAAGCAACCAGTGAGATGAATACTGCTGAGGACTGGGGACTCATTTTGGACATTTGTGATAAAGTTGGTCAATCTCGCACTGGGTGAGTATTCCAAGTTTCAAAAACTTCTGTCCATCTTTATTTATAAACGAGAGGTATTAAGTAAAGCATAGTCCAATTAATTTAGAAGGATTTTTATTGAAATGGCTTGAAGGGTTGTCCCATTTTGGTTATTCCTTATAACTAGTTAGGATAACATGCCTGCTTAAAAATTTACCCTTGTATTTTTTTCCTTTTGGAATTTAACTTTTCCATTGATGTTGATAACCATGCTTGCTATCTTTTCCATTGATTTTTGTCCAGTGGTTCACTCCCTAAGTGGCCGCAGTGGCCAGAAGCCGGGAGGTTCCTCCTGGTCTCCCTCGTGGGCACAGGGTCCCAAGGCTTTGGGGTCATCTGCTGCTTTCCTAGGCCACAAACAGGGAGTTGGAAGGGACATGGAGCAACTGGGACTTGACCCTGTGCCTTTATGGGATCCTGGCACATGCAAGGCAAGGATTTAGGCACTGAGCCACCATGCTGAGCCCTGTCTATCCCTTTCTTATACTCAGTTGCCATTTTATGACTGTATTCATGTTACTCTTCTGCTACTCTACTGGATCCAAACTCTTAGATCCTGTTTTCTCTCTGGTGCGCTGTTGATTTTAACTCAATTGTTTGACTTCCCTGTGCTTTTCTTTCTTAGTTAAATGCCTTTTGATTCTGTTTCTTTCTCTTTTTTTTAAGATTTATTTATTTTTATTGGAAAGGTGGATATACAGAGAGGAGGAGAGACAGAGAGGAAGATCTTCAGTCTTGATGGTTCACTTCCCAAGGGGCCGCAATGGCTGGAGCTGAGCCAATCTGAAGCCAGGAGCCAGGAGCTCTTCCAGGTCTCCCACACAGGTGCAGGGTCCCTCCCAAGGCTTTGGGTCATCTTCAGCTGCTGTCCCAGGCCACAAGCAGGGAGCTGGATGGGAAACAGGGCCACTGGGATTAGAACCGGTGACCATATGGGATCCTGGTGCATGCAAGGCGAGGACTTTAGCCACTAGGCTATCGTGCTGGGCCCTGATTCTGTTTCAATGTGGAGTTTTTCTCTTTTCCTAATCTGTGCCTTGTATCTTTTCAGATTTGATTTATATAAAATGTCTATCGCGGAGCCCTTTCTTATTCCTATTATTGACAGTGACATGGTCTTCTGACTTCTTAGAGTGTTTTATCAAAGCCCTTCTAATTGCTTTATTCTGTATTTTAGTAATTCATGTCTGACATTTGTAGAAAGAAAAATTGATGTGTTTTTGTTGTGTGGAAGAAAGCAGTAATTTACTGGTTTAAAGTATGGACTCTGGACTGTCTAGGTTCAAATCCTGCCTGTGATTTGTCACATTGACTGAATTAACCTTTGTGGGCCTTTTCCACTTTTACCACATAAGGATAGAAGTAGTGTATTCTTTGAAGGAGAATTTTTGTGACCAGGAGATTAATTAATGTGTAAAGTAACATGGTTAAATGGGTGGGTGCAACTCTGCCCACATTGGATTAAAGTCACATTTTGTGAGTATTTTTTGAAAATTGAATATCAACCCAGCTCCATCTCTGTGCTTTGGAGGTAAAACATTATCTAAACATTCCAGTTGTAAAGTATCTCCTTAAGAGATACTTTATTAGAAATTGCCTATATTTTTCTAGTTAAAAAATAATATTTGTAACCTGTCTGAAATTCTGCGTGATGTGTAATGAGGGCGTGAAGATCAACTTTGTTTTCATGTTCACATAGCAGAAATGATTTTTAGATTTTTTTTCTTGACTTAAGATTGATAACTTATTTCTCTTGAGAGACAGGAGGAAGACTGAAAGACATAAGAATAGAGGCAAGGAGATAGACAGGGTTTCTGAAATCCACAGATTCAATCTCCGGTGTATACAATGGATAGTTATTCTGCTTCTTTTTAGTTTTTATGAAATTAATCTTAGAATATTTGTGTGAATGGGATGCATTATTTAGTGCGTAGACACAGTATAGTAATTCTTGTAGTTTTAGTCTCCCCACCCTTTTTTTTTTCCCCTGAAGCCATCTTAGAATTGTCTTAGTTGAAAGAATGTTTACAGGTTTTAAGAGAGAAAGGTGCCGTTATTAATGAAGTTTTTTGGTCAGAACAGTGATCCAGAAGCAGGCTACTAACTTTGTGAAAAAGTCTTCATGGTTCCTGTTTTTAAAATTTTTTGCGATTGTTTAAATCACACATATAAACTATATATTTTCATGTATGTTTGTTTATTTAAACTGTGTCCTTTAAAAATAGCATGTGTTCAGATTAAATTGAACATGACAAGTCCACCTCTTCCCTGTAGCTAATCAATTTCCTTTTCTTCCCATCTTTCCTTTGTTCCTTTACACAAATGTGAATAAAATTTCCCCCAACCATATATAGTAAACATTATTGCCACTATTCTGCTTCTGCTATTACACAATTCCTTAATCTAGCCTACCAGTCTTAATAATGTATTCTTTTAATGCCTAGCAGTGCTAGAGAAGTTTACAAATCATTTACTCATTTAACACAATTTTTTGGAGACATGTGGAATATTTAGTACCCTTTAATAGTGGATAAAACTTAATTTTTAGTAATTGTATCTCAGGAAACCAAATAGATGTAACCCTGATTTCTGCAAATAGATGCTAAGTTGCTTTTAAAAAAATGCTTGAATTGTTTGACTTTCTGAGCCTTAAACTTTTAAAAAATATTTTGGAAGTTTTTGACAGTCCTCAAGATATTCACATGATTTTTAGTGTGCAATTCCAGTGTATGAGTAAGTAGTGAGGAATGCTTGACTGGCTTAGTCATATGATGGACTGAGACCTCTCTGTTTAAAAATCAACAGAACTTTCAGAATGATGGTAACAGTTTGCGTTTTGTTTTCTTTTTGGTGGTGATGGGGGGTTGTTTTATTTATTTGAAATGCAGAATTAGAGTAAGAGGGAGAATCTTCAGTCTGCAGTTTACTCCCAAGATGGCTGCAACTGCTTGGGCTAGGCCAGGCTAAAGCTGGGACGCAGGAGTTTAATGAGGGCAGTGTACATGGGGGAATCTAGACAGTCTAGACAGTGGTGCCCAGGTAATCTGTTAGCTATAGCAAGATTTTTTATTTTTATTCATTTATTTATTTTTTTGCTTAGGACTGCAGATGTGCGAGAGGGGACACATTTTTTTTTTTCACCAATATGAATGGGGAGAACGGATAGGAACATGTTTCACCACATTTTTAAAAAAAGATTTATTTATTTTCCTTGGAAAGGTAATATATAGAGAGGAGGAGAGACAGAGAGGAAGATCTTCCATCCAATGGTTCACTCCCCAAACGGCCGCAACGGCTGGAGCTGAGCCAATCTGAAGCCAGGAGTCAGGAGTTCTTCCGGGTCTCCTACACTGGTCCAGGGTCCCAAAGCTGAAAGCCGTCCTTTCCCAGGCCACAAGCAGGGAGCTGAATGGGAAGCGGGGCTGCTGGGATTAGAACTGGCGGCCATGTGGTATCCCGGCGCATTCAAGGTGAGGACCTTAACCACTACGCTATTGCACCGGGCCCTCCACCACATTTCTTTATGTATGTTTTCTTTTTCTTTTTTTTTTTAAGATTTATTTTTATTATTTTTTTTTTATTGGAAAGGCGGATATACAGAGAGGAGAGACAGAGAGGAAGTTCTTCCGTCCGATGATTCACTCCCCAAGTGAGCGCAACGGCTGATGCTATGCCGATCCGAAGCCAGGAGCCTCTTCTGGGTCTCCCATGCAGGTGCAGGGTCCCAAAGCTTTGGGCTGTCCTCGACTGCCCTCCCGGGCCACAGGCAGGGAGCTGGAAGGGAAGCGAGGTCGCCAGGATTAGAACCGGCGCCCATATGGGATCCTGGGCGTGCAAGGCGAGGACCCCAACCACTTGCGCCACTGTGCCGGGCGCTATGTATGCCTTCAATGTTAACCTCATAGGCATCGTATTGGTCTAATTTATTTTTATTAGGAAAAAGTTAATTGACCTAAAAATCAGATTAACTTTGTTAACGATGCAGGAATTCGAATTTTACTTCTTTTTCAGTGGTAATACTATATTCCTTTCAAGTGTAAAGCCTTCATGTGGCGGGTCAACCTGTGAGTTTTGTGATAGTGAAGTACTTTTCAGATGAGATGTAGAGATGATGCAAACTTGAAATAAGTGACTTTTCATGTTTTATAAAGCCTGAGATGTCCAGTCTTAGAGACAGTGCAAGTTATGTAGAAGTTGGTACTGTATAGAGCTCTGTAAGGAAAATTAATTATTTTAAATACTAATTGTACACTAGAAAGTAGTGTTTTTCATACTTATCTCGATGTCTTTTTATTGAGCATTTAGCATTGCCTATTTTGGGACCAGTTAGAGTGAAAGTTTTCACTTGTGTCACTAGAGAACGACAGTAATTGGTAAGTTATTTCATTCTCTCAGATTTTGAGAACCTTCATTATGTCAGAGGTCATGGCTAAGGATAAATGGAAAGGATATGCGTTGCCTTCTGAAACCCTTAAGCTGTTAAGTTTGAGAGGGAGAGAGAGCACACAGGCGTGTGAGAGCAGACACAGGGAGGGAGGGAGGGAGGAAGGGAAAACACAGAGTGGAGATGGTAAGAGCCAAAGCTTTAACTGGTAGTGGTGAAGAACTGTCTGCTCTGAGGTTCTTAGCATCATGTCTAGCACAAGTAGGTACTCCACACTAATGCTCACTGCTGACAATATGATTATGAATTGCCACATTCAGGTGGAAAGCTAACATTCCAGGTGCCCACTACCAGGCTTACCTTGATGTGGGGGAACCCGGGACTAAATTTCTCAGTTCAAGAGATATTTAAGCTATGACCTGAAGCATATGTAAGGGATATAGTAAGAACTGCAGGTAGGAAAGTGCTGGAGAGAATAGGACCCGAGGGATTGGAGTGTCAGAGAGAAAGAGAGCAGGGTGCTTCTGAAAAGTGATCCAGAGACCAGATTAATAGATGGACTTTGTAAGCCTGATTTTTTTTTTCTAATTTGAGCTTA